CATCGATAGGCAAATCTTCAATACGGGATTGAGCATCATCGGTAATCCCTGCAGACCACAGCCATGCATGCTGTCTATGAGCAATGGCAGAAGCCAAAGATTTAGAAGAAGCATCAGCTGTAAGGCGGGATTGAAGCTGTTGTTTAGCCAAAGTAATGGCCTCAAGGTGGGTGGGTATTCAATGCACTTTTTCTAACCTCTTCAGGAGCAGCTTGAAGAACAGGGAGGATTTTGTTCCATAGCTGCCTGTGATAGGCCCCCATCGCAAGCTGGTAATTTGAGACTCTCATAGCGAAGGAAGCCAAAGAATATAGATGACGACCCAGTACGTCTAGTTTCCTTCCCTCCTTGTTAGTAGGAGTAACTGAGGACCGATTGCCTGCTCGGAACTGATTTGACTGAACGATAATGGAATTTGGCGGAGGGTGCTTGACTAAGAACGCTGTACTGGTGCCATGAGTGCGGTAGTGATTCTCCACACGTCTCGAGATCTGCATGGACGTCAATGGTTTGTCCCAAGACTCCTTAATAAGACCCAGCATGGCAGGGATGAATGCCAAACTTAATGGAGGAGATTTTTCTTGATTAATGTCCTCAAAGACAAGGTCATGTTTGGGATGAGATGGTTGTTCAATGTCCAGTTCCAGCAATTTGGCCATATAAAGAATGACCTGAGTGTAGGAAGTAAAGTCTTCAGATGGTGATGGAGGATGCACATCAGCAACATCAGAATCTGGGGTTGGTAGATTTGACAGGGACTCCCTGGATGATTCAGAGGGAGGATCATGATCAGAAGCTGTTGATGCCGAAGATTCTTCAGAGGCGGAAAGAGCTGGAGAGGGAGATTGCTGATGACGTCCAGAAATAGAAAGATGGGTTGTTGCTGGGATCTGACAGTCGGAGCGGGATAGGCATCGGGAGACAGACTGGCACGAGGTCGAGCTGTCGGTAACGTAGAACATTGCTGCTCTGATGGAGCAGGCTCGTGTCGAGTGGACTTGTGTCGAGACAGAATCGAGTCATGATATGGTACTTCAGTACTAGGCACATGGTTTTAGATTTCTTAGACCCCGGTACCATTGGATCGGGCTCGTGACTGGCTCTGTGTCAACTCCAAACAGGAGGCAGGGACAGCGACAGAGAGGATTCGGATGGGGCATAAGCGTATCGAATGCGTTTGGGGCGCTCATAAAACCTTGTAGTGAACGGCGGGGTCATATTGGTCGAATTGGCATCAGAAGTGATTGCCATATCGATCAACATCATAAAGAGGCTCTCCATATCCAGAAAAGGCATGGCGTCGAGATGGATGCGGGACAAAGATTACCTCCCAATACTGCAGAGGTGAAGAGATATGATGCCATTTTGCTGTCCTCTTCCTTGAAGGAGATTGTAAGAGCCTCGTGGCGCAGTGGTTAAAACGCTGTACTGCAGCTAAAACTGTGCTCACGACCTGGGGTTCAAATCCCAGGTAGCCGGCTCAAGGTTGACTCAGCCTTCCATCCTTCCGAGGTCGGTAAAATGAGTACCCAGCTTGCTGGGGGGGGCAATGTGTAGCCTGTATAATTAAAAATTGTAAACCGCCTGGAGAGTGCTTGTAGCGCTATGGGGCGGTATATAAGTCCAATAAAATAAATAAATAAATAAATAAATAAAACCGATGCCTCCGAGTTCGACAGGTGTATTACAGCCGCCCGCCCAGTCGAAACAAGACTAGAATGGGCTGAGGCTGGGCTGGATATGATATCAGCCTCAGAATGGCCATGACTTGGCAACAAGCTCAGTATGGAAACTGAAGTTTGAGCCTGAGCAGGCAGACTCAAGTCTCCTACTTCAGAAATGGAGCCTTGGTCCGGGATGTCTCTTGACGATTCCTCCAGGATGGGAGATGTGAGGGAGACATGGACAACCAGCGGCTCATGCGGCTGATGAGGTTTAGGTTGTTTTGTTTTCTTTTGCTGCACTTTGTCTTTATCCCTTTGCTTTTTAGCACATGGAGTCTTCGCCGACACTGAAGAGGACTTCAACATCGAGGTTGAAGTTGATACAGACGGTAACTTGGGCTTGGAAGCCTTGGTAGAAGGCCTTGGCGAGGGAGTCGTAAAAGCCAGCGGGATGGAAGACGCAGACTGAGAGGTGGAACTGCGGTAAGTTCCATTGTGGGGCTGGTTGGCAAACTGGAAGGTGCCAAAGATATTTCCCACTTGTGGGACCTCAGCCGTTGAAGCCGGAGTTTTAAGGCCGGTTTCGTTACCTTTTTCCACTCTGGACAAATGTGAGTTTGGTGACTCTCGCCCAAACAGAACAAGCAACGATCATGGCCGTCCATAAAATGAATTTTATTGGCACACGTTGTGCAATGTTTGAATGGGCCTGAGGAGGCAATTAAAAAAGGGCAGGGGGAGGGGAAAAGACAAGAAAGAAAAAATAATTCACAGGGAATGTCTGTAAATAAAAAACTTGATTAAGTCTGTAATCCAATAATTGAAAACCGTAAAGCAGTCAAAAGAGCAATATACCACAGAGAAATCACAAAAAGCTCTTAAGTCCGAAAGAAGTCCGATTTCAGCGGCAGCTAAAAGGAACTGAGGTATTATGGGTGGGCGGACCATGCATTCCACGGGGCAATGTCCTAGTAATCACATCTTTTTAAGCTCTAGAATATTCCAAGGAGTCCTGCACAGGCACACTTAAACCCATTTGTGTGCATTCACAGAGGCCATGAAGAAGGGTATATTCTTTAGAGTGATTTTTTAAAAAAATCAGCCTTAGATGTGAATTAGTATAAAACCGTAAAGGAGTGAGAGGAAGAAAGAGTTATCTAAACTAGAGATGGGCCGACAAGTGGATGGTGCTTGTGGAGGTTGGGACTGCCCTGCCGAGTTCCTGCCAGATTGGCATGCCACCAGGGACAAAGAATTCCAATGGTGCACAATGAACGGTGAGTGGTTCCTCCAGTCTGGGGGAGGGGGTTGAGAAGAGCCTGCACAGCATCTGGGCTACCTCGTGACAATATTCAGATGGAGGGTTTTGGCTCACCTCTAAATCTAAACTGTATCTGCATATTTTAGTGAAAGTTAGCTTTATAGTATAGGATATGAGAACAGAGTCATATATTCACACATTACATTCTAACATCTTTTAGAAATATATATCAATTTGTTATAAACAGATCCTATTGAATGCAGTATACATTGGTGCCCCGCTTGACGATTACCTTGTAATATGCCGAAATCGCTTCATGACGATGTTTATGCGATCGCTATTGCGATTGCAAAACGATGTTTCAAAGGGCTTTTTCGCTTGACGATGATAGCCTGCTTCGGGAACCGATTTTTCGCTTAATGACGTCGGGTTTCAAAATGGCCGCCTGCTGTGCAAAATGGATCCCCGTGGTGTTTAGGAGGGCTTTTTCGCTTTACAGGCACTGGAAAATGGCCACCCTATGGACGACCTTCGCTGGACGATGAGGTATTTCGCCCATGAGAACGCATTAACCGGGTTTTTAATGCATTCTAGAGGGTTTTTTACTTTCACTTGATGACGATTTCGTTGTATAGCGATTTTACTGGAACAGATTATCGTCGTCAAATGAGGCACCACTGTATTACTGAATATATTTAGTATGCCCTGTTTACAATTTATTTTAATATTTATTTCAAAATACTGTATCCTACAAATTTGTTATTTCCTTCAAAGAGATAAAGAATTTAATTTTTATAGCTCCCAAACAAAGGATGCATAATCCCTTTCCCACTGACCTATGAAGCAGGCAGAAACTAGACATTTTCAACACACCATCTTGTTCAACAAGAACTGTTTTGTCAGCTAACAGCACCACTGATCATCTATCAGACTGCTTTTGATTTCAGTTGAGTAAGACTGCAACTAAGAATGCCAAACAGCACTGCAATCGATCAATTTCTGAAATCCATGAAGCCTGACACCAAGAAAAACTTTTAAAATATATGCACATTTAGATCTGTCTCCTGCTGCAATTCAGATTTGCTGCTATGTCCATCTGCCTGACAATTCTGTGCAGCAGGACATTTGCTTCCCTCTGCAAAAGGACAAATGCACAAAAGACGCTTTTATTTCCGTTTTCTTGTTCTTTCATTGATTCGGGGGGGAGGGGGAAGCCTCTTAAATGTGAATAATTTGTGTTAACGAAAGATCAGTAATTTAAAGTCTTGTGTTTTTCATGCTTCCGTTTATCATTTAACTTTTCTTTTACTCCTTTGTCTTTTAAAATCACCCTGGAATATTTTTTTTGTCCAATAGCATTGCAAGGGCTGCTAACAGCAGCTAGTCACAAAGTCTAATAGTGGAGAGAAATCACCTCATATTCTAGTTGCTTTAGTTTTGGGGGAGGCGTTGTTTATATTTTTTGCCTTTTCTTGCTTGGTTGCTTTTCTTGTTTTGGGAGAGGGAGTTGTGCACTTTCTTTTGTTATTTTTTCCCACATGGAGGAAGGTGCTTTCCCTGTTTGATTTTTTAAAAATTATTACTTGATTATTTTACTATGAGTAGTTATTCTATTAAAACTATTTATTTTTGTGGGTTTGGGGGGCTATTTCTTCTAGTGGTTGCTGTTGTTGGTTGTACTACTATTTGATTTTGAAGTAGATTGATTCTCTGTTGTCTTTGCTTTTTGGGGACAGTTTTTCAGGTTCTTTAGGGCTTTTGAATAATTGCCAGATAGACTATGAATGGGGAAAACCCAAACAAAATAACCCACAAGTGTCAATCTCTTTGACCTTAAATGACAGGACTGATGCATGAAAAACACAGAAGAGGCGCCCTCCCAAAACTACCTGAAATTAAACAAAATGTTTTTGCTGTGCACTTTTCTACACTGTGCTGTCTGACATTTCAATGAATACACATATCCAGAGACAAAGAAGCATAAATAAAACAAGAACATAATGTGTAAACCCAGTATTTGATTCAAATAAAGTGTATTTAAATGCAGTGGTAAAGTAAAATACTTCCTACATTACCTGTTTCTGCTTCAGATTCTGAGTCTTCTTCTTCATCTTCCTCACTAGAGCAACTGGACTCATCCTTCTTTCCCTCTTCCTCTTCATCTGCCTTTTCCTGTTCTAGAGACTCAATATTGGATGCATTCTTCTCTTGCTCAATGATCAAAGTCTCTTTACTGGAACAACATTGGTTTAAAACAGTAAATATTTATTTCACTACTAACTTTATTTTAAAAAATGAGCTGAGAACCTATTCTGTGCTGACAGTTGTGCCATACTGCCTTCTATAGCTTTTGGTCCAATGGTAAATAACTACTGCCAAGAAAAATGACATGCACTTGCTAGATGTCTCCATTCATGATGCTAAAAATGTCAAATCACTTACACTTTGGTCTGTATGTAGCACAACAGGGTTCCTATCACAATATCCTGGCTGGGACTACTTCATCTCTTCCTCTCATTACCAGAACCTTCCACATTAATTCCTTACCATCTCCATTTACCTACCACTCAGAGTTAATTTTATCTCATCTACTTACTTTTTAAATGGTTTTTGTGATTGATTATTATCCATGTTGGCTGTAGATTCAATTAAAGGTGATTTCTTTTCCTTTTTTTCACTATGAAGCTTTAAGAGAAATTAAAAACCAAATTAATTTCTTCACATGCAGATACATGGAGAGAAATAATGTCACAAAAAGGGCTTATTCTCTGCTCCACCCAAAAAATTAATAAGAACCTTTGCTACTCAAACACTGTCCCAATATCAAAAGACCACATAAAAACAAAATCCTTTGTCTTTCAACAAAAATAATACATTTTTGTTGAATGGCAAACAAAGTTCATCTTCTGAACATTTCCAAACTAGGAATACACAGAAGAGAAATGTAGTTATATGCAGATGCTCCAGGTGAGACTCACAGTAAACATCCCTGCTGCACAGATATATGGACCATCTTATTTACAAGGTAACTCAGATCTGCATGCTGCACCAACACGGTAGAGTGAATTCAAAGTGACTCTTTCGTACACAAACTTCTAATTATCAAAATACTCAAATTATCTGATATTGCAGGAAGCCAAAAGTACTACAGTGAATTTGTTTCCAGGTTTCACATTTGCAGTGTTTTATTCGTATCATTAGTAAGTTAGCAATAAGACACACACACTGCACATTTGCGACTGTGCTGAAGAATAGTGAATGTAAAGGATCTTCAGATAATTCACGATTTTGATTAGATATTGGAGGAAGTAGTGTTTAATAAGGCATGACCTGCAAAAATATTCATCAACTCTGAAAAAACTGAGAGAACACACGGAAGCATCTACATCCACTTTCAAGAGAAATATAAATTGACAAGAGTCTGTATAACTTTCTTTTTTCTGATGCATTCCAACTACACTTTTCAGAAATGTTTCAATTTCTTATTTTTATACAAGTCATGAGAATATTTATCTATGCAGAAGTTAGTGAAGAGATCTTAAGTTCTGAGAAAATGACCACTTGTCTGTTTACTATTCCAGACTGCTAAAGACACGTAAGATAAAGAAGAGGTTTGAAATTGCAGCACATGCTTCATCTACATTAAATTTCAAGTCCAATTCCAACACCTCCCATTGAACAGTCTCAGCTTCAAACTGGACAGATCACAAAAGTCAGAATACCAAATACTAGACTACATGTAGCAGCAGTCTGATTATTTTAAGTTTCAAAAATTAATTCACAAAAACCTATGTTCTTAAAATACAAAAGAGCTTACCATATTTTGCTTCTTTTGCAGTTCTTCTAAATACCCTAAAATGTCTTCATCAGCTACATCAAATGCTGTCTGGCCCTGCAGGATTAATTAACCACAAATTAGATTGTGGCACAATTGTGCCAGTCATATACAGAGGAGCAGTATACTATCCAGCATCCTACTTAATGCCAGCTAAAAAAAAATACTGTACAATCCTATCACTGTGTGTATGTATAGTGAGAACTCAAGAGTGGGAATGGTGTAGTATAAGTGAAAATTTGCTTAACTGAAAACAATTTTTTGAACCTAGAAAGTCTGAAATGTATTTACATAATTAGTGATCCATCTCTGCATGGATTCCCATCCGCCTCCCCAAAAAATATCAGGAAACAAAACACGGTTCCTCACAGCACTGCACTTTAAAAAGGATGTAGATTCAAAGGAGAGCAATAAAATTGTCTACAGTTATGAAAATCAAGTCTTATGAGAAGAAATTTGAAGGTACTGCATATGTTTAAGTACCATCTTACCCCAAGGCTGGGAAATGACACAAAGGCTCTTTAAACTCTTCAAGGACTGTCACACAGAAAAGAGCAAACATCTTTTTTGCTGCCCACAGGGCAAGATTATATGCAATTGACTTAAGTTACATGAGAGCAGACTTTGGTTAATTTTAGCAAAACCCGAATAAATTCAAAAACATAACTAGTTATAATGAATAAAGGACCAGATCCACCTAATGAATTATATTGTCGTTTCTTTTTATTTTATTATATTACATTTTTGTCTTATTGTTAGCCGCCCAGAGTAGACTTCGGTCTAGATGGGTGGGGTATAAATCGAATAAATAAAATATAATAAAATACGCAGATGCTGAACGGTCATTTGCTGGGAATGTTTCATCTGTAGACTTCCTGCACTGAACAGAGATTTGGACTGTTGGTCAACAAGATTTATTCCAATTCTATGATTCTGAGAAATCTTTAATATTCCTCTGATTTATAATTAAAAGCATGTATCAGGGTGGGTATTAGAGATGGGGGTATTCGTATACAGTACAAATAACTGCACAGCTGGACTTAAGAATGATCCAGCCCCTGGGGCCGTACCATCCACTCACGCATCCGTCAGCAGCAGCAGCCTTAGTCAGCCTTCCAATTGCTCCTGGAGCGCAACTCTCTTTCTACTTATCTAGCCACTCAGCAGCCATGCAGGTAGACTCATCCCTGGAGTTGGCTAGATGAGCAGAAAGAGAGCAGCGGTCCAGGAGCGATTGGAAGGCTGACCAAGGCTGCCGCCGGATGCGTGAGTAGATGGTCCCGCCTTAGGGGTCGGACCCTCGTTAAGTCCAGCTGTGCAGAGATATTCGTATCCATATACAAATACGAATTCATATTCGTATTCATATGCGAATACCCTCATCTGTAGTGGGTATGTGAAATGACAGTATCCCAATCCAATGCATGCACCATATACAGTGGTGCCTCGCTTAACGAGTGCACCGTATAACGATGAAATCGCATAGCGATCCGTTTTTTTGGATCGCTAATGCGATCGCTCAACGTTTTTTAAATGGGGAAAAATTCGCTTTGCGAAGACCGGTAAGCGTTTCGCTTACCGATCTTCGCAAAACGAACCCCGACGATCAGCTGTTCGGCGGCCAAAATGGCCGCCGGAAGCCGGGAAATGGCCCAAAATGGCCGCGCGCAGCGTTTTCACGCCCTCGTTAAGCGAGGCGAGGGCGCGAAAATGGCTGCCGGCCATCCTGAAGCTTCGCTGAACGGTGAGTATTTGGCCCATTTGGAACGCATTAAACGATGTTTAATGTGTTCCAATGGAAATCCCTGCCCCGTTCAGCGATGCTTCAGCATAGCGAAGGTTAATCCGGAACGGATTAACCTCGCTATGCGAGGCACCACTGTATATGGTGCAAAATATATCTTTCAAATACTTAATTTCATGTACCGCATAGATTTGTTACTGCATCCTACATATCAACAAATATGATAGGACATATTTATAATACTGTGAAAAGGAAAAGGGTTAGATAGTTTGGTAGATGTTTGCGAGTCAGCTACACAAATTCCTTTGACATCTCATATTAATGTTTAAAGGTAAAGATTTGGAAATTCAAATATAAAGCAGAAGAACAGGTTACTTACCTGTAAACATGGTTCTTTAAGTGGATTCTCTATGAATACACACGACCCGCCCAACCTCCCCACGTGTCCGTCACTGTTGACTGAGTTCCAACTCTCTCTATGTGCGGGCACATGGAACTGGGGATTTTTGGCGGGCTGCACTTGCGCAGTGCAGGGCAACTCAAACATTGTATCTTTTCCCTCATAGCTCTGGAAAATTCCGAGAGGAACCAGCGCAGGCGCTGTTTAACCCATCAGTGTGGATTCATAGAGAACCACGTTAAAGAAATGGTAGTTTTCGACATTGTTGTATGTATTTGACAACCATCCACACAAGTATGGTTTCTGTGTTCTATACTTATTATCATGGACACTGAGGGATTAAAAATAAGGGAGACAATGCTTTTCATAAGAATAAGTTTAGATTTATAAGCAATGATTAAAATTTTTAAAAGGGAATCAAAATTATCTAGGGTTTTCCTTCCTTAATTCTTCTTAGAGGTTGTTCAGTTGACCTCATTTTTTAAAATAAATTTACTGTTTGATTATGTACTGCACCATCAAGCAAAATCTGCATTGTTTTTCCCTAAATTCAGCATGTATATTTTCCAAAATACAACTCTTTGTTGGGAATCTGCCTTTTGAAATCTTTGTATGTGCATCTTTTGGTAGTAGGCCCGTATTTGGCAATTGCTTGTTTTTCATATGGGTAAGCAAAGAGAAAAGGTATTTATACATGTTTGAATTTGCAAAATTCATGAAGATTTTAAACAGCATGTTCTATGACGAAAACTATATTTACTAAATGAAACAGAGTTATAGGGCTATTTTTCATCAATGATCTGTATCATTAGGTGAATTTGAGCTAACACTAGCAATATTCAACAAACATCTTTTCCACCCAAACAGAAAAGCAAATACTGAATAAACCAATTGATAAAAGATCAAGTGAATACAAATTCAGTTTTTTAAAGATAAAGATATTAATCTGCATACAACTGACATATAAAAAAGTATTAACATATCTCAGCTGTTCATAATGCTGAAAGTTGGACATTATGGCCTATGTCCAACTGATAGCCCCAGAATAGATTCACTGAATCAGTGGAATTTACCTATGTGCTGACTTGCCATTCTGAAATTGATCCAACAGGTCTTCTCCAGCTGGATCTACCAACTGGATTTTGGTTAATACTGTATGTATTCTTAATTTTCAAACACTAATATCTACATATTTTATTTTAGAAGTCTTTTGTCAACATCACAAAAATCATACAACTAATGTGTAAAGCTAAAAGAGGGGCAATCAACTGTTTTTTCCTAGAAAACCTTACTTGATGTTCCATGCCACACTCTATTCAGAATTGGAGAACATAATTTATAATCTGACCCAAAAGTCAACATGTGAAAGGGGGGGTCAAACTGGAAGGTCAAATAGAAGGCTTAATATTTGTTTGGATTCATGGCCTATATATGTATAAAAGTAATCCATTAACAAATCTAACTAAATGCTGTTGGCAACAGTCAAGAAATATGTAAATTGTAGGTTTCAGCAAATTACAGAATGAAAATATGAGAGTGCTTTTATTCCTCCCCCTCTTGGTTACGTGAGTACTATCATATGAAAATGTAAACCTGTTGCAGACCTAAGGAATCAACCTTATTACTAATCAAAACAAAGCAAGACCAAAAAAAGGTGGCTCTTCAGCTGCTACTCTGAAGTGCTAATTTCTGAAAAGTTTTTTAGGGTAGGAGAAGAGATGAGATTTGGCAAGATCAGGAAGCTCAAATGGAAGAGGGAGAAGCAATCAGATAGTGCTTATAAGAATGAATACACAGTGGTGCCTCGCTAGACCCCGCTAAACGAAGAATCCGCATAACAACAACTTTTTGCCATCGCTATAGCAATTCACAAAACAGTCATTTCAATGGGCGATTTCCACTTGACAATGATTTGGTCTGTGCTTCACTGCTCGAGCACAATCGGCGCTTATCTGGAGGCAGAGAAGGGTGTGCACTGTTGGCCAGTGAGCTTGCCGCCCGGGTTGCCCACACACCAAGTGGGCTGGGGGGGGAAGCAGCCGCACCGAGCAGGGGCTGGCTGGTCTTGCCACCGCCGTGCCTCAGAAGCCCGGCAGTTAGGGATTCCCCCCAGTATCAGTCTCCTGTCTGGGGGTTGGGGAAAAACCTCCTTGTGTAGATGGCCCCTTACCTGGCTCAGTGACATGCAGGGGCGGGTCTGCCGTGCTTCAGCCATGCCAGGGCTTTTTAAAAAAAGCAGCTCGGGATTCCCCCTCAGCTAGGCTTCCCCATGGGTGGATTAGGAGGAAAGCCCTTCTGGCGGGCTGGCTGTCTCGCCTCCACGGCGCCACGGGACCACATGGTCGAGAGGAGTTTTCAACCTTGGGGTCATCAAGGGGAAATCCTTCCTGCTGCCTGGGCTCTCCTCTTCCCACAGCCCCAAATCGTTTAATTGGAAGGCAGAGAGCGTGGCTGGCTCCTGCTGTTTGATCCTTTCCAGGAGGCTGTGGGTAATTGAGAGATCCCCCTTTGTTTGGCTTGGATGAGCAGGACCATGTGGCTCCTTTAGAGTGCTTAATTCAGGGCGGAGTGGGGAAATCCCTTCCTTGTGGATTGCAGAGGAGCTCCTTTACACCGGGGATTGATTGGGGAAACTCCTCCTTTGTAGTAGTGGCTCCTTTAAAGTGTTTCATTCAGGGAGGAGTGTGGAAATCCCTTCCTGGTGGTTCACAGAGGACCGTTTATTTGCAAGAGGTTGATTTTGACAGCTCGCTCCATGCTTCAGCTGTTCGCAAGACGATGATTTTACAGCTGATCGGCGCTTCGGAAAACGGCTTTCTTATGGGCGATTTTCGCTGGATGATGATGATTTTCTCCCCATTGGAACGCATTGAACGGGTTTCAATGCATTCCAGTGGGGAAATGCTTTTCACTAGATAATGTTTTCACGAGACAGCAATTTCAATGGAACGAATTAACATCGTCTAGCGAGGCACCACTGTAGCTAGGAACATATGGAGTTCTGAAATTTTCCAACCCATCTTTTGAAAAGGAAATGGAGCAGACAGTTCCACTGAATTTTTCTAAGGGAGGAGATACCCTACATTTTCTCAGACTAATAATTAGCAGTGACTGTAGCACAGTTGAAATTTCCTCTCTCCAGAATGTTTTTTCCAAGAGCACTGCAAATGGCAGGAACAACAACAAGCGACATTCTGCTTTCTCCACAATGCTCTCTATCTACTATCATTCTGGGGTGTCATGACTATGCTGCAAGCTAGAAGCACTACATATGATGTAGAAACTTTGGAAAACATTAACCAAGCTAGCCTTCCATTTCCATGGGATAAAAAAAATTTCTCAGTATGTTCCAAGGTGGTATTATCTGCACAGGAAAGGTGAAGCTAGTCCATAATATCCAATTCCCTTAAATCATGGGTGGGCAAAATGCGGCCCTCCAGATGTTGCTGAACTGCAACTCCCATAATTCCTAGCCCACACAGCCAATAGTGAGGAGATTTGGGCCTAGCCCACACAGCCAATAGTGAGGAGATTTGGGCCTATCCCACACAGCCAATAGTGAGGAGATTTGGGCTAGCCCAGACAGCCAATAGTGTGAGGAGAGTTGGGCATAGCCCACACAGTGAGGAATGTTGGGATTTGCAGTTCAGGGACATCTGGAGGGCCGCACTTTGCCCAGATCTGCCTTAAACCTTTATCATCCCAATAACTCTTTAGGATTTCTTTCAGTCATATTTTCTATCACAGCACAGCAGGGTGCTGCACTAGTTTTTCTAGTATGGATATCATCATCCCTCTGCAGCTCCCTTGGCTGCCTATTCTTCCTGATCTGAAAAAGCTCTGTCCAAGAAGCTATCTTATGACCCCTTCCCAAGACTTAAGCTCGAAGCATGGGAAATTGGAGGAAGAGATTGCTGAGTACCACAGAGATTACTGTATACTAGATAGACAAGACACATTCACACACTTCTACGTTACCTCACTATTAAGTTAAGCACACATTCATGAACCTTCCCTGTGAAAATTTCTCCTTTTTAAAGTTTATTTTCAAATGGAATATCTTTTCCATGAAGTTAACTGAAGATAGGCAAAATTCCCATCTAAGAAATTTTAGGAACAGCAAACTCATGCTTCCAGAAGGGTTTAGCCAACAGATCCTTCTATTTAATAATCTAGTTTTGTCTTCCCTTTGCAATCTTTTCAGGTAACATAAAATTGGTAGGAAACGGTGGTTACTCTTGTGCTTGAAAATCAAAACTCAAAACTGATCCAAAAGGAAAAAAAATGGTGGTTACTTCCATTAGGAATAATTCTGTGATCACTATTTGAAAGCTCTATGTTTCTGCACATTGGTAGCTGTGATTAAATGAACTATCTGCTTGCTTTTTATTAGCAACTTTCAATAAGAAATTATGTGTACTCAAACTGGCCTGCCCATGGAAAAGTCAGATCACCTGAAATCAAAAGCTACAGAGTTAAAGAGATATTGCTTATGCTGAAATATCTAGGAATGTCTGGCTGTAATCAAAGGCTACAGTACTATTAATCCATAGTCAACTGACTCCTTCCAATCGTATTAAATTCTCACAAATGAAATACAATTATAGCAATAGGTGTTTCATACGTATTTTCCTCCAGCAGCTTAGTATAAAAGCAGGTTTACAGCATATCAATCGTTCTTGTGCATGGGAAACCTGAAACTGCTCCCTAACATTTAATAGCAAAAAAATCTGTATGCCCAGAATCTAAAAATATGCAATAAAATTGCCAAATACCATAGTAAAAAAGGCTAAATGTCAGAAAAGGTAGATCTTAACACAATCCCCTAGCTAAATATCATGTATCATGGGATTAAACTTTTCAAGTTTTTAAAAAGTACTAATATAGACCTAATCCTGTAAGGGAATCAAGTTCAACAGATGTTGCTTTCTGTAATGTCCCATGTTAGAGATAGGCCATATTATCCAAGCGGCAAAATACAGTCTTTGAGCATTCCTTGGGGCTCTAGCCCTCTGTCTACTTCTCCAAAACTGAGTTTTCTTAAATGCTCAGAAAGTCTGTGTGTGTCCAAAGGGAATACTGGGAGCAATTTTATCATTTTCTGCCCCCTCAGCATACTTCCTCCTGCTTCCCCCAAATTTTAAAAATTAAAAACTACCACTAGGCAGCATGAGGGAGGCTTAAAAAACATTTTTAAAAAAGTTCTGGGGAGGAGGCAGATGGGAACTGGCACCCAAAATCCAGGGACAGGCACATGCAGACCCTGGATCTCTGGAAATTGCTCATTTCTTTCCCACATGAAAAAAGATGAGCTCAAAGTTATTCTTTATTGAAATGGAACAGGTCTGTTAACTTATCATACACAAATCTGTTTATGAGTATAATTAAGGCATGTTTCAAGCAAATATTACAAGCAATAGCAAAGCAATTAAACTTTAAAAAAAACCAGAGCAGTCATCCTACTACAGCTCAGATGTACAACTTAATAGTTTCAGTCACATTAAGGCAGTTCTTTGACAAATTTCACATCTATGAACAATTTAATTTTCAGACACAAGGCCCTACACAATTATGAGATGAGAAACTTGTAACATTCTGACATCCTTTATATGACAAAAAGCCACAATAGTTTTCTAGCTAGGACATTCTAGTATCTAGACATACATATACTGTATATTCATTTGTGTATGGTTTACAGTGAAGTGGCACATGGTATCCTAGTTCTTTCGAACAATGCACAAAGGACTTTGCATTTTGACAAAAATTACAAAGACTCCTACCACTTTATTAACAGCCTCCATATCACACAAGTTTTCCACTAATATTCGGCATGCTTCTTCTTTACCCCAATGAGCAGCTGCATGAAGTGGTGTCCAGCCATCATAATCTTTAATATTTACATCATAGCCAGCCTGTATTAGAAGTCTGGAAAAAATGATCAGCTAAATAAATAGTAGTTACAAAAAATCAGTTAGAAATAAAGTGCTATTGCAACCAGTATTCTGTTCAACAATACCCAATGTGGTGTAGCAGACAGACCACCCCACATGGGGGGGGGGGAGAACTAGTAAAACCACTCATTAGATATTTAGGATAAATGTTCATTTACCTTGAAAGCCCTATTATAATAGCTACAAGTTGGTTCTGACCTGATGGCACATAACACATCTCCAGTTCAATGCTTCCATGCATAGAGTGCTGACAGCAAAAGCTATCCTAAGGATCTGACAAGATTTGAGCTGTGTGACCAGATCGTGTGATCAGGCACACAGCCACACACCATCCACACCTTTTCAGAGTGCCACAAGAGCATCGAGTTAGAATTCTGCAGGCATCATACTGAACAATGGACTGTGAGGTTTTCTCTCCCCTCCCTGGGAACCTTGCACAAAAGGAAGCTTGATAAGGGCTTAGTGAATGTAGGAAATGAACAGTTTCCCAACATGGACTATCACTACAAATATTATGAAAAATGAAGAATTTAGCAGGGACCAAATCCAGTTGTTAGTCTCAACTTAAGAGCAGAGCCACTGGATGAATCTGACTTAAACTAAAATGAATGAAAATCCACTTGATTCAAAAGAACTCCTCGGTATGGGACTAACAAACAACTTTAACACAGAGGTCCTGTGTCTGAGGCAGAAATGCCCTAAGCTTAAGTCACATTTCTGGGCTTGGCAAACTTCCTAGAATATGCTTATATAACTATATAAATGTTTAGAAAGACTTTCAAAAGTCACATGAGTTTTGTATGTATACTGTGGATTACAAACATTGCTAACAATATTTTAAATCTGCATGAGAAACTATACTTACTTTAAGACTTCCGTATATCCTTTAGCAGCAGCTACATGAAGTGCTGTACCACCGGATTTTGCATGCCGAACATCATTTATACGACCACTGTTAAGCCACTGTCTAGCATCTCTAAGCATTATTCGTTCTTCTTCTTTCCGAGCTGCCTCTATATCAACCCCTTAAGGAAAACATATATTCACATTATATAAATACACATACACACACACACACCTGAAACTGAAACATTGGTTAACACCTACGCAAAATGTTTAGCAGTGCCTACTGCCGAAATTCATTACAGTTCTCTAGTTGTCTTTCAGTTTAAACCTAGGAGAATGAAAGAAAACTGGGTATGCTCTTGCACTAATTCTGGTACAAAATTACTTTCCACAAAAAGGCCTGAACAGAGTCCAGCTTGTCAAAATTCTTCAGTGTTGAAATATGACGTACTATACATTAGCATGAATTTCAACATAGGAAGATGATTATACAGTTTTATAAAGTCACTCAAACTGTACCAAACTTTGTACCATTCTGCGTAGTGGAGTAGCTGGTATACTAATGGCAGTTCTAGCCTGTGCAGTATAATAGCGGGGACAGCATTATCTTTAAAAGGTTATGACATCACAGCTGAGACAAAAAAGATCTGAATTTCTGTACAGTAGGGTTTCATTCATGAGGCTGACTGGGCCAAAAAATATCCAAAGAACATGTTTGCTTTTACCTACAGAAAAGCCTCTCATTCAATGATCAGAAAGATAATGAGATCAAAATTATCTGTAGGCAGAAACAGACAAACAAACACAAAAACACCAAACAAACTGCCTAATAGCCAACTCTTCCATGTAGATTAAAACCAGTCAAGCTAGTTTACAACAACACTGTAGGTGTTCCTAGAATATAAAGGAATTATCAGTAAAAGAAGATAGGGTGTGGCTTGGAATTTCCTAAGATGAATGCCAAAAAATATGAAGCAATAATTATCACTGTAATTTCAATATGCTAAGATTCCAATAAAGTTTAAGAATAAATATTTGTGATACAGAAAGTCCCATCTACAAATGGTCCACAAATGGCAATACTTTATTTCTAAGTCTGATGTATAGACTGTTACTTCCAAAAGCCATTTGATCATTTCCAAGTACACTAATGAGGAAGAGTAACAGATGATGCTACACCTATATAAGGCAGCTCTCTGAAAAACATTCATACAGATTAACTGGTTACTTTCTTTACAAGTGAATTTGAAAAATAATTCTAATGCACTATGTTCAACAAGGATGTATAACACTTAAAAATTCTAATTACCAGCATTTTTCAGCTACCAGAGTAGCCTAATGACAGCTGTTTCATAAGGGTTGCCCCAGGCACTTACCAGTGTACAGTAGTACTGTACAATCAATCCTTACTGCTGAAGAATCAAAATGAGGAAGCAATTTGGTTACTGGCCAATGGCATTTCATTGTATGAACTATTAAGTGTTGAGATGCATCACCAGTTGTCTTCTAAAGTGCCAAAGTGCAACCAGCATAATAGTAACATTAATTAAACCATAAATCTAAATTTACTGACTCCTCGTTAAGGGCTCCAGACTTAAATACAGTGTTTGTCTCTATTTTCAACCTGATATTCACCTTATGTTAATTCTATTTCTTTATATAATTTTATAGAATTCTGTTTGGTTGGGAGGTGATATAAGCTTGCTATTGCTCCAAGGGTGTCTTTTTACGTTGTTGTTTTTTATAATACATTCTGATAAATCACACATTTCTCTGTCTGCTGTCAGCCATATAATCAAAGCTACACTACATGAAATGAAAGCTTGAAATGGTCACTATCATTCTTCTTTCAGCAATGTTTTTCCTCTTTAGGTTTTCACTAAAGCAGACCTCTACTATTTAAATAACAAATTTCCTGTGCCTCTTACTCTGGTAGCAAAGGCAGGAATGAAAATTCCATGTTTCTAAAGGCCAGAAGGTTAGGTTGATGTGCATACTTACCACACAATCCTGACTTTTACTTTGGGCCACTAGGCAAGACAGGATTATTCTGAACCCCATTATGCTCAAAACCAGAGGGAAGAAGCAGAGACATATCTTTGTTTCTATCTGTAAGCAGGAGTTCTAACTGTCTGGCAGGCACAGAAAACAGATCCTGTCATATCCTGGGGTGATGCACTTGAGGATGAGAAACATTTTCTGCCTCTATCTGTGATGCAGAGATGCCACAGCAGCAGAAGCAACATCAGAAGCAGGCTTCCCAACCTGCTCTGGCATCAGAAGTCTGAATGCTGAGAATAAAACAGGAACTGGAAAGGAGGGAGTACTGAAATCAAAGAAAATCACAGGCAAGTAACATATAAGTTTTTAACAGGAGGGTACCCCTGCCCACTTGCTAGCTCTACTTCTGCCAGTCTCAAGCAAGACAGAAATAACCGACCTCTGGTGTAAATGAATTATAATCAAGCAAATTTCCATTGTCTACAAATTCTGAATGGCCTGTATCACCGAGCTACCGTTGAAATTAGATGTGAACCAAGACAAGCATTCTCAAATTACCCATGTCTGTACAATTAAGTATTGACATGAACCACCCATGACAATGAACAAAATATTTCCTAACTATTTCTCCTTTTAAAATGAACACGAAGTTTATGTGGCTTGCAAAAAGACTACAAACTATGTTGGACAAAATCTGTCCTTTATTCTATTACTAAAGCAAAAAGAGACTTACCATATTTTTCCATTTATAAGACAACCCGATGTATAAGATAACTGTCCTTTTTCTAACCTCAAATTTGAAAATTTGATCCCTGCTTTTCCAAGTAGGGATCAAAGAGCTGCACGATCACTGAGCCCACAAACAGTGGTGGAAGCAGCAGCAGCAGCAGAAGGTGGAGACTGAGGCAAAAAAGCAGCTGGGCTCAACCACCTCTCGCTGCTGCCCACTGACTGCCGCCGCTGCCCAATCACAAGGACACAATCGCTGGAAGGGCCAATCGGGTGGCAGTGCCAGCAGCAATCAATGGGCTGCCATGCTCTGTCATCTCTCGCTGCTGCCCATTGACTGCTGCCGCCTGATCACCAGATGATTATTGCTGGAGGGGGTGATCGGGCGGCATCGGCAGGAGTCAATGGGCAGCTGCAAGAGGTGGCTGAGTCCAGCTCCTTCTATGCCTCAGTCTACGCCTCCTCCTGCTCCCTTCCATGTATAAAACAACCCTCAATTTTTTCTCTAATTGTTTTAGGAAAAAGTGTTGTTTTATATACGGAAAAATATAGTATTGTTTCTAAGAAGCAAGGTTTTTAACAGTCCTTTCAAGACAGATATTGAGCAATAAGCAATCTGAAATCCAGAATATGCCCTGTTCTCAATGCTCAATAAAACAAACCAAGTCACCTATCCAGTTCTGTGTCACTTTTCTTGTTTCTGCTGGAAAAGATTGAGACTTGAATAGCTTCCCCTCCAGAAATTCCTTAAAAACATCTTGCAACTGAACCATTTTTGCATGCTAGGAAACAAATGTTACAACTTGGTTGCCATTTTATCAGCCTAGGTAGGAAACACATTTTCTTCCATTTTCTGTTATTTGGAGTATTCAAAGATGCTTTGTTACAAAGAGCATTATTTTACTATGCATAAAATACAAGCTGTCACAATCGACAAGCTGGCCAGGGATTGGCATTTCTACTTCTTTCTGCAAATCCTCTAATCCAGAGTTCTCTAAACTACGGCCCACTTTGCCTTTTTATCCAGCCCTCAAATGTGGGCGGGAGTGGGCATCTTCGTTCTGCCCTTGAATATATGGAGCATATATGATGTGGCCCTCCCACTGAAAAGTTTGGAGACCGCTGCTCTAATCCATCTATCCTTCAACCTGCTCACATACAGTGAGATGAAAACTAGACGTGAAGCCTCAATTAAAAATTGTGCAAACACTTTCTAAAAAGCCAATTTCAAGTGCTGCAAGTTTCAGAAGATGTAGACCTGTTAGTCTGTATGAGCATATCAGGCAAAAAGAAAATAAATATTTTTAAAAAGATAAAAAAAGTACTGGTGCCTTAAAGTCCATTAGATTTTAATGTAAGTTTTCATGTATTATCATGTGGACATCCAGATAAATGGACTGATTATCAGTCAATGTTTCTTAAGTCCTTACCAAATGTAATTATTATGCTATTATCTACCTTTATTTTCCTTTACAACTACCAGACCCATATTTCAGAACATGGATCAAAAGTATATGTCATTCTTTATATACTGCTAACAGTCTTTAAAGCTCCATCTTTCTGCTTTGGCTAGTTTTGTGTCTCTTACTAGAATATTTACATGATTTCAAAAGAACTGAATACCAATACAAGTCATAAATCACTGCATGTGTGAAAACAAGCTTACACGACTGGCTCTTAAGAAACTACAGTAGCATGAATGTTTTACTGTGTGATCTTTGTATTCCACCTCATATGTCTGAAGAAGTGGTTATAAAGGTCCACAAAACCTTACATTATAAAGTGCCACAATATTTTTGTCTTTTTTATTTTTATTTTGTTTTTGTCTGAAGATCTAGACTGTTACCATGTCATGGGGGATAGAAGGGTTTAACGACCACACACCCCTGTCCCAGAAATACAGTTCCAAATTCATATCATGGGCAGGCATTAACTATTTGTGCCCGGGTGGGGGAGTCTAAAAGAGTTTTCCCCCTAAGATCATAAGAGATTCTGATCCAGACTGAAATGATATCAATTGATAAAGGTTTATAGATTCATATATCTGCCATTTCCTTCTTAAAAACAAGTCCTGTAATTGCTAAAGGTGTGAATGATGTCATACCTTGTTTTACTCTAAGGCTGCTGATGCAGATGAAGCAAGAGGCAGAATTAGTTCTGGTTTTCTAAACTCAGGCATACCTCCATTCTAAGCCCTTAGAAGGCAAAGAACATTTCTCTTATCTTCGAAAATTAAATTTGGCACGTGCTTTGTCAAGATGGAGGCACACTGGCATTTATAATCATCAATCAACAAGCTAACAATTGACAGCCAGAAAATGCCTTTAACCAGGAGTATGAAAATGAAAGTGAATTCTTAAGACTTTTTAGAGGGTAAGCCCAACAATAGTCATAGAGTTGGAAGAGACCACTGAAGCCATCCAGTCCAACCCCCCGCCATGCACAAACACCCATCAAAGTACTCCCATCCAGTCTCTGTTTAAAAACCTCCAAAGAAGGAGACTCCACCACCCTTTGAGGCAGCCTATTCCCCTGCTGGCCAGCTCTGACCATGAGGAAGTTCTTCCTAATGTTCAGATGGAATCTTTTTTCCTGAAGTTTGAAACCATTGCTCCTTGTCCTAGTCTCTGGAGCCTGGAAAACAAACATGTCCCCTCTTCAACATGACATCCTTTCAAATATTTAAACATGGCTATTATGTCCCCCTCAACCTTCTTTTTGTAAGGCTAAACATTCCCAACTCCCTAAGCCACTCCTTGTAGGACATTGCTTCCAGACCTTTAACCATTTTAGTTGCCATCCTCTGGACATGTTCCAGGTTATCAACATACTTCCTGAATTGAGATGCCCAGAACTGGAAACAATACTCCAAGTGAGGTCTGACCAAAACAGAATAGAGTGGTACTATCACTCCCCTTGCTCTATACCAGAGGTTGTCAACCCCTCGTCCATGGCCCAGTGCCGCAGAGACAGACCTACTGCTCCCCGCACACACTCCCCTCCCCACAGCTGCTTTGCACAAAAATGTTCCAGTGTGATCGCTCCCCCACCCCTTCATGCATGCACCCAAGTGAAGGGGTGGGTGGGTGTGCGGGCACTCCTGCGCATGTGTGAAGGGATAGGGGAGCGCTCATGCCGGTGCTGGCACATGCGCTCTCCCCCACCGTTTCGCACATGCACCTGAGAGAGCATGCATGCTCGTGTACCTGTGTGCACAGGGGAGTGCCCCACCTCCCTCAGAGGCTTAATCAATCTGCAGTCCCAAAAAGGTTGGGGACCGCTGCTTTAGACGCTATACTCATATTGATACAACCAAGAATCACATTGGCTTTCTTGGCAGCCACATCACACTGCTGACTCATGTACAGCTTGTGGTTTACCAAGACTCCCAGATCCCTTTCACAGGTACTGTTGTCTAGCCAGGTGTCTTCCATCCTTTATCTGTGCAGTTATTTTTTTCTGCCTAGGTGTAGGACCTTACATTTCTCCCTGTTGAAATTCATTTTGTTAGTTTTGGCCCAGGACTCCAATCTGTCAAGGTCATTTTGAATTTTAATCCTGTCCTCTGGGGAATTAGCAACCCCTCCCAATTTGGTATCATCTGCAAATTTAATTAGCATACTCTCTATTCCTTAATCCAAGTCATTGATAAAGATGTTAAATAGCACAGGGCCCAGAACAGAAGCCCACATTTTACTAGCTTCCTTGAAAGAATATCATAGGGAACTTTGTCAAAGGCCTTACTAAAATCAAGATATGCTACGTCCACAATGTTCTCTTCATCTATCAAGCCTGTAATTCTTATCAAAAAAAAGAGATCGGATTAGTCTAGCATTACTTGTTTTTGAGAAACCCGTGTTGACTTTTAGTGATGACAAACTGTCTGTTAATTGATCTGTTCTAGAATTTTTCCGGAAATTGATGTCAGGCTGACTGGGCGATAATTATTTGGGTCTTCTTTTTTTCCCTTTTTGAAGACAGGGACAACATTGGCCTTCCTCCAGTCTGTGGGGACTTCTCCTGTTCTCCAAGAATTCTCAAATATTATTGCCAATGGTTCTGATATTGTATTCTCGAAGATTCTGATATTACTTCTGCCAGTTCTTTTAATATCCTTAGATGTAATTTGTCTGGCCCAAGAGACTTAAATTCATCCAAGGTACTACTTTTCTATCTATTTTGTGCTGCATTTCCCACACTACTTTACCTGCTCTTTGTCCCTCAGGTTGAGCACTATTTTCTTTTTTGGAAAAAACTGAGGCAAAGAAGGTGTTGAGTAGTTCTGCCTTTTTCCTGTCCCCTGTTAGTAATCAGCCATCATCTCCACGCAGAGATCCTATCATTTCCTTGTGTTTCCTTTTCCTATAACAATAAGTAAAGTAAGACACAGCTGCTGATAAACTGAAACTAGGCTTAATCCCAGCTTGGCAATTTAACTACTTTTCTATGAAACTGCTTCATATAGAGTCAAAGCACAGTACTCCCTGTTCTAAAATGTCAGGCAACAGTTTTCCAGGAATATTTCCCAGTCCTACCTGGGCACTGAACGTGGATTGTTTTGCAAGCAGTTTTTGTTGATCGTTAATGTCCCTTTCAAGTTCTAGTTCTTGCTAATTAAAAAACTGACTGTTTCATATTGTAAAAGAATTTTCATCTAAATACAACTTCTATTTTTAAAGATACTGCATTAAGTGACAATCCCAGATGACAAAGAACACTGTGCAGGTAAGTGAGTGGGCTGCAAAGAAGGGACTGCTCTCTCCGTGCATTTTCTGTAAGTCAATTTGTTTAGAAGGGTTTCTTCTTAGTCTGCCAAGAGTTATCCTGCATTTTTATACTAGCTGTATAATTTTCATATTCTCAAGAAGCAACATCAAAAGAGACACTATTAATCTCTTAGAAGGCAAATGAAAATATCTGAAACTTAGTAACTTGAGGGCTGTTTTTGCAAGTCTAATGTCAAGATACATAGGCATGTAACAAAATACCAAAAGACAAACATTTCTATTTCTAGGAGTGGCTAAAAAAATATATAAGAAAACCATCACATCTCTAGGCTCATACAGATATACTAGTCCTTTACCCTCTTTAACACCATATAACTTAATGTGAAGTTTTGTCCTGTGATTTTCCTGTCTCCAACAAACCACTGGCTTAAATAGTTCCATATATTTCCTCTCCAATTTTATTCTGTTCTTGGTTAAAGTCATGCACATCCATAACTGTTAAAATTTTACGAACCAGAAAATGTTGCTACAATATTTAGGAAGGAACTTATAGATACCTTTAAATATTTCATTCAGACATGAATTCCCTGATCAATCTTATGACAATTACTATTAATTTTGCTGTTTCTTACAATTTTAGAACCAACAGCCACAATGCATGCTACTTCTAATTTGTTAAATGTATCTTTAAAAAGCAAAGTTAATCCTTTGTTGACACAGACAGTTTGCTATTTGATTCCTTCTCATTAACAATACATACATTACCACAATTGAAGAAAAATTCCCAGAGAGACAAGAAAAGTCTTTGGTTTAAAGCAAAGACTTATAATTGGAATTGTATCCCCCAAAGGAAAAAAAATCTGACTATAGAATATTTCTCCAATGTCCACTGAAAACATGAGCATACTGGTAGACCCTTCTTATACCTTGACTGTTCCACCCCAAGTAAAACACAAGAGGCCCACCTGAGTCTTTGACATGCTATTCCCATATAAACATAGACGAAAGCTGTGCTTCTCTGACCTTGAAAATCCAAGCTAAGTAATTGATAGCACTTTCCTGAATATCTTGGAAATACAGGTCTTGACATCAGAGATGGCGCAGCATCTCCCAGTTGTGATTCAACATTTATCCTTAAGAGCAATCATAACCAAAAGAGAACTCTTGAAGTCTCTTAAGGCTAATAGTAATTGTTATTCCCAATGAGAACAGACCCTTGATTCAAGGTAACTATGGTAACTCAATAATAAAGGATTTGGTCTAGTTGGGAATAACAATTTTATTTAGTTTTTAAATCAACAGATAGCTTTAATATTGGAGAACATATTTTTCATACATTCAGCTGCTTTTAAATATGTAAACTCAAATTAACAAGCATACTTTTAAAAACGGCAATCACAATAAATGCATGCAGTTATTTTACTAGAAATATATTTCAATGTTCACTCTGCCAGGTCATATACATCACTCGTGACATATGGCCACTTTTCTTATGGTGATGTAATTATTTTTGTTTTAATAGTCTTTATGCATGAAATTTTTTTTAATGAACTCTTAAAAAATACCTTGTCTGTTCACTTCATTTTGAAGCAATTCTTCCATTGCCTCTTCCTCAGCAATGTCTAATGGTGTGTCTCCTTCACTATTTACTGCTCCTACATGTGCTCCTTGACTAATTAAATATCTGTTAAGAAAACCAAAAATATGATTAACATGGCAGAATGCTTCTCATAGAAATATTGAACATGTTTCATTGAACAGGTAATGTAAAAATTCATTAAAATATAGGCACACATTTAACATTAAGAAGATTTATCTTTGACGCTGATCATTAAAACGATCCGTGCATGAGAACTCTAAAGCCACCTTCTTGAATGTTTTGCTAATCATGCATTGAGAAGGCATTTTTAAATACTAACTTCAAATAGTTAATCTTTTACCAGGAAATTCAACATCCATTTATAAACAATTCAACTGATTACTATCAGAACTGATTAATATCAGAACTGATATAGCACAGAAATACTCACAGCACTCATAATGCTGATAGTTAAAGGTTTTCACTGTCCAAAGGCGCTTCACTAAGCATATGATTTGTACAAAAGCATTACAACCTTTCGCAGAAGGTATATTTTGCTCACTTTCAGCTATTCTAGCACCTTGTGCCACCAAACATGGGAAGCAAGAAGCAAGTCTAGGGAGGCTGTATCCACCATCCCTCTGTACATTTGGCTAATGTAAAAATGTCATTTGATACTGAAAGTAAAGCATTTTCATAGTAACTCTCCTCTTCCCTTTGATCAAACAAATAAACAAAAGGACAACTGGTGGGGTGCAAGGCAACAGTATAGCAAGACGGTAACAAAGTGCTTATTTCGTAAAGTAATGGAGGACCTGGCAGAAGGGATGTACCAACAGAGACTGACAACCTACTAATTTACAAGGAGAGAAAAATATCTTCTGCATAGTTACATGAAGCTTCTTCATCTTAACTTTGGAGGCTTGTTTGCATTTCAGACACTGCATGAGGGCAAGGTTGAAAATATCTTGCTGACCTTGCTGCCTGGTGCCTGAGACCAAGCAATGCCTGAAAACTTGTTCCTTAGCATAGCAAATTACAACAGTTGGTCCACAGAATAAATTGAACTTAAATCCCCAGTGAGCCTACTCTCATTACAACTTATTACACTAAACAGAATTTCAGCCATTAGGTGCCCTATTGCCATTCTCCCCTACTCCTGCAAAGTGAAATACTTCATTTATGACACAGCCTGCTACACTCAGATGACAATGTATCCAATGAAATACCCCCAGAATGATTGCCTATTCACCTTTCAATCATGTGAACACATTCCTGGTGAGTTTATTTAGTATGTTACTACTATCAATCTCAAAGATTTTAATAACTGAAAAAAAATTAAAAGCCATGGAAAGCACATGTTTCAGATATTAAAAATCAACTATGAACTAATACTATGAACTGAAAGCAGAAATACAATCAAGGAAGAATGCAAAAAAAAAAAAAGACTATTCCTGGCATATAAATAAATAAAACTAATAAACAAATTCTTTAAAATTAGCTAATGACAAGATGTGAAGCCAAGCTACAAGGTCTGAATCTTAAATGCAACTTTTCAGTGGCTGGCACATGGGGACCAAAAGATAATACACATCTACATTGAACTGCACATATCGAAGGAGCACAGTTTTGATTATACACAGATTTATACATACATACATACATACATACATACATACATACATACATACATACATACATACATACATACATACATACATACATACATACATACATACATACATACATACTCTGGTCACCCAGAACCGGGGACATGAGTTCAACACTGAAGACAACAAAGTTGTTTGTTTGTTTGATTTATACCCCACCTATCTGGACTACTCGTTGTTGTTTAGCCGTTAAGTCATGTCCGACTCTTCGTGACTCCATGGACCAGAGCACGCCAGGCCCTCCTGTCTTCCACTGCCTCCCGGAGTTGGGTCAAATTCATGTTGGTCGCTTCTATGACACTGTCCAACCATCTCCTCCTCTGTCGTCTCCTTCTCCTCTTGCCTTCACTCTTTCCCAACATCAGGGAGATTTCTCTTCTCATGAGATGGCCAAAGTACAGTGGTGCCTTGACCTACATCATTTTGAGTTATGAACAGCTCTGTTCGCAAAATTTTGCTTTGACTTGCGAACAGAGCTTTGACTTAGGAACACAGAAAAGGCAGGCGAAAAGTGTGGGAAATTCAAATTGCAAACTGTAGGTGGCAAAGAGGCTGCTTCTTTGTAGCTCTTTCGCCCTGGAAGTTAGAGAATGTGCAATCTGAGAAGGCTACTTGCTAAGGTAAGGACTCAGAAAGTCTTTATACTTTAAAAAAATTGTTTGGGATATTTTTGCAGTGTGGTTTTTGGCTGGAGGGTTATGTTTCCATGCTGTGATGGGTCTTGGGGGGTTGTTTGTTTTTTGGTTCCACCTCCATTTCTGATGGGGGGCTGGTTCCTTTTTCAAGTGTTTTTTTCCCATTTCTGATGGGTCTTGGGGAATTTGATTTTTGGCCCCCGCCCCATTTCCAATAGGGTCTTCGGAGGTTTGCATGCTTATTGCCTTGTTCTCTTTGCATTTCTGATCTGCTCCGTTTGTTTTTGCAGTGGTTCCTGCATGCTTCCCTTGCTTTTTGCTTTGTCCATTTCTGACCTGCTCTGTTTGTTTTCTGTGCATTTGCCATGGTTACTGCATGCCTCCCTTGCTTTTTGCTCTGATGGATCTTGCAGACCCTTTATGCAAGGGTCTGTGCTGGCTGGCTTGCTCTAAAATGGAGATCAGACTCAAGTATCCCCCATTGTCTTTTCTCTGTGTCTTCTCCTTTTTGTGCTTAAAAGCACAAATCGAGTCCACCATTCTATCTACTATACCATCACACTGGGTATCAGTCTACATTTTATAAATGCTCAATTTAATTGCAAACTAATATAATTTCAATTACAAGAAGTTGGTCATTTGGGAATTGCAAGTGGGACCTGCAGCATTATGTTGCAATGTGTCCTTACTTCTCAGGAGTGCTGCTCAGGTTTCAGCCAGCAAGCCATATACACCTGCATCTTATTCCTTTTTTAATCTTTTTTTCAGTTGGTGTTAACATCCCAGTTACTGAACATGCTAATTGTCTCGGTAGCACATAAGACTCACATAAAATTTAGAAGCACAAGTCCACCATTTCCCATGCCCCTTCTTGTCTTGCACTGCCACCAGGCTCAATCTTTATCTTTTCTGGGTTTGTTTGTTTTTCTTTTCCCTTTTGTACTAAAGCTAGAACCACGAAGGGGAACATTCGAAAAAAGAGCCAGTTCTTTTTCAGGTTTACCAAAAGGACCAGTACAGTATCTGAAAGCACCAGAATCACATGCAATCTGAAGCATTTCCCCATACACATCCCCAACTGCATTATCAGCACAGATTTGACTCTGGGACTAAAACTCACTAACTGGGAATCAAGTGTCAAATTGAAAGTTGGGTTGCTATCCAGATAGTATAACCTACCAGTTTACCAGATGGTTACAGCAAACAACATGACAGCCCAAGAGATGAAAGCCTTCAACTAAAAGATATGTTTGGAAGCACCAGACATGAAATGAAGCTGAATAAATTCCTAGTTTAAAAAAAAAGAAAGCAGGTATATTTTACTAAATTGCCCAGGCCCACAAATTTAACAAAACTGAAAATATGTGATACTATAATAGGTTCCTCATCTCATTCAATTCAGCTGTCCCATCAAAGGCAAAAGCGAAGTCAAAAACTATCCTCTAGGTATCTGACAATAAGTGCATACAGCTACACTTTGTGCCCGTAAATTCCATACCTTAATTCCACCTTTCTACTGTATGTCCACAATAGCAAACAATATGGTAGAATATAATTTATAAAAATGCTAACATTTACGAGAAAAATAGGCCCCCAATTCTGAACGGTTTATAAAATAAAAAATGTTAACATTGAAACAAACCCATCTCTTTCAAAATCAACTCAAGATGAAATAATTAGAAAAACATCTGAAATGATTGTTAACAAATTGTAAACAAATGTCTATGTTCAAGCAACAAACACATAGGGAGAAATCAGGTGCCTGATATAAATAGGGGAAATTCAACTTTACAGTATTTGCTTATAATACAATTTTAAGTAAAAGGTTTCAATAAAGGAAAAAAATTCAGCAAACTGAACAAGCAAGATATGTGTTTGACTCATTTACATAAAGTTTCTAAGAAAACTTCCTTTGACTAATTCATATAAAAACGACACTTGCTGATAACCTCCTATAAGGCATCTAAAGAATTCATAATTGATTTTAGGAGGAAGAGAAATGTACATTTACCACTGTACATAAACAGCGAGGAAGTGGAGAGAGTTGGTAGTTTTACATTTCTGGGTACTTACATCTCAGAGGACCTCTCATGGACTAGAAATGCCAACATGCTAATGAGGAAGGCACAGAAGAGGCTGTATTTCCTGAGAATGCTCAGCAAGTTAAATTTATCTCAGCATTTACTTCTGTCCTACTATCGTAGCACCATTGAGAGTGTCCTAACCTATGGCATTCTGGCATGGTTTGGGAGTAGCTCTGAAGCGGCCAAAAAAGCTCTACAGAGAACCATTAAAATTGCCCAGATTATCATCGGGCTCCAGCTACCAACCCTGGATGACATCTTCACATCCCGCTGTCTGAGAAAGTCACACAGCATCCTGAGAGACTCTTCCCATCCTGCTTATAACTTTTTTGAACTGTTACCGTCTGGCAGAAGATACAGAACAATTAGACTCGGACCACACGTTTTCTCAATAGTTTTTATCCCAGAGCTATAATTGCAATTAATAATGGGCTTAAAGACCACCAGTAGTGAATAATTAGTTGGACTGTGTTACTTGGCCTGCGGTGTATATGTTTATATTTTTAGTGGGGGACTTTTAATGGGTGGGGAGTGTTTGGGGAATTTTATGTGTGTGCATGTGTCTGGTCTCTGGGTGTCTGTGAATTTTGTTGTATGGGTATACTGTGTATATACTTACAATGACAATAAATTATTAATATTATTTAATAAGTTACTGCATGTTTACTGTCAGAAGAATACATTACATAAACATGGAAGCCTAAATTAGCAGTCTC